GAGAGGTTTGAGGGGAACAACTGCAGTTGAGATCAGTTGGATGGAGAAACGCAAGAAGCGGGCGCTAAGCTTGGGTTTGGGAGAGGGGAAAGGCGAAAGCGGAGGGGCGGCCCAGAGCCGTGGGTGGAGAGCCCGAGGGCGAGGGCGGTGTGGAAGAGGTGGGGGTCGTGGCGCTGGAAGGCTGGCCAGCGGGTTCCTGCTGGGGGGAGGGTGGTAGGGGGGTGGGGTAAGGCCGGGTGGGGGATGTTAAATTTGCCACAAACTCCCTCCCAAGATGCAGGCGCACTGAGTAGGGAAAAACCTCCAGGACCCAGTTAATGGGAAAGCTCAGAAAATGTATGTTCTAATTATTACATTATTAGGAGCCCCTGGGTGGTGCAAGGAGCTTGGAGGCGCAGTGGTTAAAAGCTCAGCTATTAACCAAAAGGTTGGCAGTTCGAAGCCACCACCCGTTTCCTTGGAAACGCTATGGGGCAGCTCTACCCTGTCCTATAGGGTGGACTATGAGTCGGAATCCCCTCCGCGGCAACGGGTTTGGTTTTTGGGTGGTGCAAATGGTTAAGCGCTCAGCTACTAACAGAAAGTTTGGAGGTCTGAATCCAGCCAGAGGTACCTTGGAAGAAAGGCCTGGTGAGCTTATGTCTGAAATATTACAAACATTGAAAAACCTTCAGAGCATAGTTCTAGTCTGACCCAGATGGTATCATCAGGAGTTGGAATTGACTCGTAGGCAACTGGTTTGGTTTTGGTTATCATCATTATTATGTTGGTAAATAAGTGTTAAATATGAAATTGTCTTTCACCTTTTTTTATTTCAAAGCTCTCTGACCCACCCAGCTCGGTCTCTGGGCTCACTCTGAGCAGCAGGCCTGATCTGGGGGGCTTGGAGTGAGGCTGGCAGAAGAAATGGAAAACACTGGATGAAGAACATTGAACTGTTTGAATAAACTCCTTGTCAGAACTGGAGTTCTTTTGCTAACCCCTTTGTTGCCAGCAGGAAAATCATGGCAGGGTGGGGTGGGTTTCCTTTCTTTTGGTTGGTTCTTGTTGATTTGAGGTTTTGCCGCAGATATCCCAGCAAGTGGAGTAAATTTAGATAAGATAAGGATGAACAAAAGTGCCTAGTAAGAACTTGACCGGGCCTGAAGGTGGACCTGGTGCCCGGACTGACTACACTTACCAGCTTCTTTGATCTTGAGGCATGTCTACTGACTTTTCTGGGTCTCAGCATACTCACTAACAAATGGAAACATCCCCCAACCCCCCCCCACCTCCTACCCCCAACCCCCCCGTCCCCCACACTAAAGTCTACAAATCTAAGGCCAAGTGTTTTGGCGGGGGAAAAAAAACCAAAAACAAAACAGACTTACTAGTGTGACAGAGACTGGAAGAACCCCCAACACTGTGGACCCTGGACACCCTGCTAACCCAGAACTGAAACCATGCCCAAAGCCCACTTTTCAGACGAAGATTAGACAGGCCTATAAAACAACAAACATTAGGAACGTGTTTCTTAGTTCAATCAAATATACGAGACCCAGTGGGCAACTCCTGTCCAAAAGCAAGAAGAGAAGGCAGGAAGGGACAGGAATCGGACAAAGGGACACAGGGAACCAGGGGTGGGAAGTGGGAGAATGCTGTCACATTGCAGGGATTGCAACCAATGTCACAAAACAATGTGTATAAATTTTTGAATAAGAAATTAACTTGAGCTGTAAACTTTCACCTAAAGCATGGTAAAATTAAAAAATCAATTTTAAAAAGCCATGTGTTTTGGGGAGGAAAACCACAGAGGTAAAATGCCATTCTCATCACATCACATCAAGAGTACAGATTATCAGCTTGACTTATGACTGTTGATGTTAACCTTGATTGCCTGGCTGAGGTAATGTTTGTCAAGTTTCTCCACTGTAAAGTTACTGGTTTTTTTTTCATCCTTGCCATACTGTGCTCTTTGGAAGTCACTATGTGCAGCCCCCACTTAAGTACTGGGGAGTTACGCTCCATCTCCTTGAGGGCAGAGTATCGATATAAATTGCTTGGAACTCTTCTGCACCGGAGACTTGTTTATTTGCCCCTATTTATTTATTCAGTCATTTATTTATATCAGCATGGACTTGTGGATATTTATTTTATACATTGGGTTATAATCCAAAACTACTTGATTTGTTCGGTTGCTCAAACCGTTCCAGCTTTGGCCACTGGGGGCTCTTTTCAGTTGGCTCCTGTGTCTCTTTGACACATGCCCATCTTTGTGGATTGTTTTGTTTTGGGTTTGTGAGCACTCTTTGCTTTCTGCACTTTGGAAAGATGCTCCCGGCTTGTCTGATGTATTTCTTGCTCCAGTCCTCGAGTCGGTCATTTCTTCAAGGAGAAAGTGAGGGCCCAGTTTGAATCCTAGAGAATGTGTGTCTGGCTGGAAGGTGGGGCAGAAGATCTGGCAGGTGGGGAGGAACAGGGCCCCACCCCCTCTTAGGATGGGACTTTCCCAGCAGCAGCAGCAGCAGCAGCCAGATTGGCAAGTCATTAGCAAGAAACAATGACTCACCAACTCCCCAGGTTGGCTCCTCCCTCCCTCTGTTGCTGACAAGACTGTCCCTAAACCAGCTCAGACAGAGGGACCTAGGTCAGAAAGTGTCCCCACCCATGGGGCCAGAGAGGAATGGCCCATTTTAGGCAAAGTTGGGGTTTTCACCCATGCCAGCAGACACCCCCCCAACCACACACACACAAAGGGAAGACTTCATTTCATTCATTCGTGTATAATTTATACCCCTCCTACCTGCAGAAAAGATTAAATAACATTACTCTCAAATTTACAACTACAATAAAACTATTACTAAAACCCACGTAAAGAACAAACCAAAAAACCAAACCCATTGCTGTCGAGTCGATTCCGACTCATAGCGACTCTACAGGACAGAGTAGAACTGCCCCCACAGGTTTCCAAGGCTGTAAACCTTTACAGAAGCAGACTGCCACATCTTTCTCCCTTGAAGCCAGTGGTAGGTTTGAACCACCGACCTTTTGGTTAGCAGCCGAGCACTTTAACCACTGCACCACCGGGCTCCCTGTCAAAGGACAAGAGCAGTATAAAAAAGAAGGCACAAGTGCATGTGTGTGTGTGTGTGTGTGTGTGTGTGTAATAATTTCATCGCAGATACCTGGCTGGGGCAGCCTCCTAGGTTGCCTGAATCACAGATAGCTAGCACCAGGACTGTCAGAGATAAGTAAGCTTCACCTGTCATTTTATAGAGCCAAAACTGATCAAGTGATTTTCGGGGGTGGGGGGTGGGAGGGGGCAGGGAGAGCATGCTGCTAGTGAGCTCAAGAACTGGGAATACCGGGAAAGGCCTCCTGATGTCCCGCTCTTTTAAAATTCCCTCTGATGATTCCCTTTCCAGGAGGGTAAAAAGAACAGCTTTTAGTCAGAACCCACTCGACAGCAATGGGTTTGGTTTTGGTTTTAGGGGGATACGATGGGAGGGCAACTTTGGGGCCTCTTTCATTTGCCAGATGAATTAACTTATGTGAATATGTCTGAGAAGTCTTTGGGGCTGTGGGGCTATAATTAGGGATTAGTAGCAGCTCCAGACATTCAGACATAGGGAAAGTAGAATGCAGACATTGGGATATAGAAGTGGATACTGGGACTCCTACCCTTTCCTCATAGTTAAGATTTTAATGGTTAAGTCAGCAACTTTCTGGGTGTTGCTTTCTCCTTCCCACTCGAAAATAAAGATAAAAATCGGGGATCTTGAAGCATTTTCTAAGCAAGTTGGATTTATGCATTTTTATGCTACCAACTCTTCAAGAAATAGCGTTCTCTTTTAATAGTCACTCCCCTCCTGAATAACACTCTCCTGACTGGCTACTCCCAGTGTTATGGGGTTTTCAATGATCTCTGTTCTGGCTAAGATGAAACACCAGCTTGACGCTCAGAGAAAGGGTTCTGGGCCTGGTGTCCCTTGGTGTGGCTGCAACAAAGAGATGAAATTAGCATTCACTCTCCAGGTTGACCTTCCTAGCGTTACCTGGGAGATCTTGTCTCAGTCCGGAAACTCCTAGAGCAAGGACGGTGGGTGGCTTAGAACAGTATCTGCAAATAGGTAATCAATATGCTTTGGATGATGATGATAGCAGGTACTCTGGAGATTTAGAAAATATTCAGATGGGGCAATGCCCTTGAAAAGGCATCCAGGCTAGTTTCTCCAGAACCCTGAGTCCCCTCAGGGGAGAGGACGGGAAGGTGTTCAAAGCCTGCCTTCAGGCTGAGCCTAGAGGAAGTCTTTCTGGGGAAGGGCTGTCCGCTGTGCTAATGCTGGAGTTTCTCTGCCACTCTCATTTTCTGTATATTTTCAAATTCATTTTTTATTAATAAATTTATTATAAAAGTAATATATGGCTGTAAAAAATTCAAATATATAGCTATGAAGTGGATATTGAAATTGAAATACCCCCACCCCAACTCCCCAGAAGTAACCACTATTACCAACTCGGGGCAGATCCAGCCAGACTTTTTTACACTCCTACAAGCATCACGACCCGATGCGGTCGAGTCAATTCCGACTCATAGTGACCCTATAGGACAGAGTAGAACTGACCCACAGGAGATCCAAGGAGCGGCTGGTGGATTTGAACTGCCAACCTTTTCGTTCCCAGCCAAGCTCTTAACCAGTGCGCCACCAGGGCTCCCGTACAAGCATATGTATAGATTTTTGTTTTAATTTGAACAAAGGTGGGCTCACACTGTACTGTGTGTTCCGCACCTTGCTTTGTCCCTCCTTAACAATACGTCTTGGATAGCTTTCTCTGCCAAGATACCTACCTAGATCTGCCTCATTTTAGCGATTCCTTGTCGTTGTACCCGTACGGTTCTCTGAGCGTCGGCTTTGCGCCTTTCTTCCTTCCGGTGTTTTGGAGCTCGCCGAGTCTCGTGGAGTGCCTGGCACAGGTGGGCGGGATCCCGGGCCGCTCGGGTATGCAGATGAGATGGGCGGGGCCCCACTTATACCCGCGGTTAGCCGCCGGCGGGCGCTGCCAGCGTCTACGGTTTCAGTCCGAGGCGGCGAGCGAAACCAGCTTCCCCAGCGCCGCCGAGCCTGGTCCCGGGCTGGCCCCTCTGCTGCCTCCTGAGCGGGCCATGCCCCCGCGGGATCTGAGCGAACCTGAGCCACCGCCCCTCCGGGCCCCGACCCCTCCCCCGCGGCGCAGCAGTGCGTCCCCGGAACTGGGCATCAAGTGCGTGCTGGTGGGCGACGGCGCAGTGGGCAAGAGCAGCCTCATCGTCAGCTACACCTGCAATGGGTACCCCGCGCGCTACCGGCCCACGGCTCTGGACACCTTCTCTGGTACGTTCAACGGCCCCGGCGGCCGCGTGGCTGGAGGGGGGGTGTGCACCCGGGAGCTGCGGCCGGGACTAGAGGCGCGGCTGGAGGGCACGAAGCCCCGGGGGAAGGAGGCCGGCCTCGAGGTGGCGCTGATAGGCGTGGTGGGGTCGGAGGACGCTCTTCCTCACTCCGGCTGTCTGTCGCCCCTGCAGTGCAAGTCCTGGTCGATGGAGCCCCCGTGCGCATTGAGCTCTGGGATACAGCCGGACAGGTGAGAAGCTGGGAGCAGCCTCTGCTACTCTGGGGCTAGGTGGGCTGGAGGCGGGGAGGACCCCTGATAGAGCCGCGATGGGAGGGCCGTGAGCTCTTGGTTGCAAGCCCCAGGTGAAGGGCCAATTGCTGTTCCCCATGTGGCAGGGAATAATCCCATTAACTACCTGGCCTTCCCACCCCAGGAGGACTTTGACCGGCTTCGCTCCCTCTGCTACCCGGATACCGATGTCTTCCTGGCCTGCTTCAGCGTGGTGCAGCCCAGTTCCTTCCAAAACATCACAGACAAATGGCTGCCAGAGATCCGCACTCACAACCCCCAGGCGCCGGTGCTGCTGGTGGGCACCCAGGCCGACCTGAGGGACGACGTCAATGTACTGATTCAGCTGGACCAGGGGGGCCGGGAGGGCCCGGTGCCCCAACCTCAGGCCCAGGGTCTGGCGGAGAAGATCCGGGCCTGCTGCTACCTCGAGTGTTCGGCCTTGACGCAGAAAAACTTGAAGGAGGTATTTGACTCGGCCATTCTCAGTGCCATCGAGCACAAGGCCGGGCTGGAGAAGAAGCTGAACGCCAAGGGTGTGCGCACCCTCTCCCGCTGCCGCTGGAAGAAGTTCTTCTGCTTTGTTTGAGCGGCTATGGCAGCGCAGCAAGCGGTGGACAGGTGGCCAGAGAATTCTGGAACCTAGGGCACTGGGCCGTGGAGGGGACTGCTGACAGGGGCACGCCACCCCATGGGACTCAGTTCCCTTCTGAACATTGTGGGGAGAGAAGGAGGGCTCTGACCCAGATTTCTGTGGTGAAAGCTTACAGACAAAACCCAGCACTTTGATTGTCATGGGATGGTCCCAACAGTGTCAGCCGCCTCCGAGCAGTTTGGGATTCAATTCCGTGTTTCTCATGCTGGGCCAGCAGTGCTGAATTAGGACCCCCTGTAGTGATGCCCAATCCTTCCGTGGCACAGGACCAGGAAGAGCCTGGGAACAGCTTGGGCATCTTGGAGGGCTGGAAGGTGTCTAGACTGATTTGGAGAGAAGTTTGGGGCTGGACTGTGTAAGAGGTCTGAGAGGCTAAACGGAGCAGAAACAAGGCCTTGGAGCCGCGGGACTGGAGGCAGGACTGGCTAGGAGGCAGATCAGAGATCTTGGCCTGGAAAGAGGATCGACGAGCAAGGAGAGCAGGGAAGTGGGGCAGCTGAGAGCAAGGCTGACACCTGGGCTGCCCTCAGCCCTACAGCCGGGGATGGTGGGGCAGACGGTCCCTGGGAAGAGCTGGGTCTCAGGGCTCCCTAGGCACTGCCCGAACTGGCTGGGCCAAAAGTGGGGCAGGAAGTGAGAGGCCAGGCCAGGCAGGGGGCTGGGGAAGGAGCTGCAAATTAGAGCCCGAGGAAGGGGCTGGAGGTCACCCCTTTCCCGAGGGCCACAGCCTAGGAGGTAGGGCAGTGTATGGTGTGCAAATAAAGCCTCAAGTGTCTGCCGATGCTGTCTCTGTGTCATTTCCTAGATTGGTCAGGAACCCCCTCTGCCTGTTACTCCGACAGCCCTGCTGGAGCCCCAACACTAACACCCTGGTTAGAGGCAGATTGGGCACCAAAGGATTGTTCAAGTACTGAGGCTGGACTGGAGGGTGGGGGCTGGACCAGGTGGCTGATGGGACAGTGTAATGGGAACTGTACTAGGGGGGCAGGCGTGCGGCTCCCTGCTTGGGGCTTAGCCAGTTCCCAGGAGAGCTAGCGTGGGAATCAGCCTGGAAACGGGTTTCCCCAGGTGTCAGCGCCAAACCTGCTTTCCCATGACCTCACTGGCAGGTGGGGCCCCTCCCCTCTCCCCCTCCTTTCTAGAGGGCAGTGCTCAGTGCTGCGGCGGCTGTGGAGTAATCTTGAGCCCTCTAACTTTCCTGCTCTGATCTGGCTGAGGCCTGCTCCTTCAGACAGGGTTTTGGTCTGGGGGGCCTAGGTTCAGAACCTGAGCAGGGAGGGAACCCCACATAACTTAGACTTCAGCCACTAGACAAGACTTCCCGCTGGTGAAGCTTCTTGGACTTGAGTTGGTTGGACTCAGTCTTCAGCCATGGTCCTCAAGTCCACTTCAAGGACGTAGTAAAGACCAGGTGTCAGTTGTGAACAATTTAAATAGGGTAAGTTTGGTCCTAGGTCTCCTGTGGAAATAGGGTTCATTGGGAGAGGCCCTAGAGAGGAGCAGGGATCCAGAGACCATTCTCTGGAACCGAAGCTGGAAGGGACTTCACAGACCACCTTGGAAAAACAAACCAACCTTGTTTTACCGAACCACAGGAGGCAGGCCCAGAGAAAAAAGGCCACATCTCAAAAAGAGATGTTACAAGGTGCCTGTAAGAGCACTTTGTAAATTCCGGAGTTAGTTACCTGGGTAAGTGTTACTCCTGTGAAGAGGTTTTTTGAAGGCAAACTGGTGTTACCTCTGGCACAGCCTGCTACACCTGCTAGGCAGCTGCCAGGTGAGCACGCCCCTGTCCTAGCTCACCTCTGGACCAGCTCCCTCTGCCGGAAGCTCCCTCATGCCGGAAGCATGGCTGAGAGAAATCCTAGCCAAGTGAAACCGCAGATAATCCCCAAGTTCAGTTTCAGCCAAGACTGTCCGCCTCCTGTCCCAGGGCCCATCTTCCAGAGCTCCAGCCGTCTCACCCCACTTTGTGCCCTTGTCCTCTCAGACGGAGGTGCTGAGCTGCATGCATCATTACAACCAGGTCCTGAGGTACCCTGTCTCCAGGGCCTGTTGCTACCTCATCCCAGCCTGACACTCCCCTCCACAGCAGACACCTGGGTTCAAGTTCAGGCTCTGACATCAACCAGCTCCGTGACTTTGGATAAATCTTTTTCTTTCCCTGTGTCTCAGGACGCTGATTGGATTAGAGGTTTTCAAACTACTCCGAGGGGCCTTAGAGGTGCTATGGGGTGGAGGAGGAGGCCTAGTCAGGTGATCTCTGAGTCCCCCACCTCCAACTTCGCCCCTGCTTCTCTAATGGTATCAGCACATCCACGTCACCCAAAGGTGGTCACCATGCCTCCTCCCCCACTCAGTCACCAAGCCTGGTCAACAGTACCTCCATCAGACCCTTACATCCCTGCCACTGCTGCTTCCCAATCCATTCGGTGTGGCTGCCTTCCTCCGGGCACCTCCCAACCCAACTCTGGGACGGATGGGCTCTTGCTGTCTTCAGTGAGCTCCCAGCTCTTCACTGCGGCATTCAAGGACTTCTTGAATTTGACACCAAGCTGGACGAGGTCCGCTGTCCCAGTGATCCGCACTTTCTGATCCCCAATTATCTCTTGACTTCTCGACTCCAAGCCTTTGGTTTTGCCAAATACCCTAGTTCAGAAAGTGCCTTCTCCCACCTCCCAGATGCTTTGCTCCGCTCTAACCATCTTCCAATACCTCCCTCCTCCAGGAAGGCTCTTCTGCCTGTAGTAGTGTCCGCACTGCTTCCTGGCACTCTGACGATATTCCAGGTTTGATCACTGACGCTGGCTGCAGAAAGAGAGAGAGAGAACCCAGTCCCTGGTGATGCAAATAGTTAACGCACTCAGCTGCTAACCAAAAGGTTGGAGGTTCAAGCCCACCCAGAGTCACCTGGGAAGAAGAACCTGGCGACCTACTTCTGAAAAATCAGCCATGAAAACGCTAGGGAGCAGAGTTCTATTCTGGCACACATGGGGTCACCATGCATTGGAATGGACTCAGTGGCAACTGGTTTTATCCTCCTAACGCCCCTGCAGGGTCTCAGACTCCAAATGCCCCTCTGGCTCTAAGTGCTTAAGAGTGAAAGCACCATGACCTGGAGATGAAGACCTAAGAGAAATGGCTTGCTGGAAAGCTCCTCTGAAGCCCGGCGCCCAAGCCTGTGCAGGACAAGAGGGATTTACTTCTGGCTGTGAACCCCTGGCTCTCTCAAGGTCTGTTTCTCTCTCTAGAACATGGCATGTCTCTTTGCTTTCTGGGACAGCTTTTCTGTTTTTTCTCTCTGTCTCTGCCTCTCCTTGTAAAGCCTGGTGGCGTAGTGGTTAAGAGCTACGGCTGCTAACCAAAAGGTTGGCAGTTTGAATCCACTAGGGGCTCCTTGGAAACGCTATGGGGCAGTTCTACTCTGTCCTGTAGGGTTACTATGAGTCGGAATCGACTCGACAGCAACGGGTTTGGTTTTTTTTTTCTGTCTCTCCTTCCTTTGCCTCTTTTCCCTGCCTTCTCCCCACTCTTGAATCTAACTTTAATGGCATATTTATGATTATATTAATTGGATGAAAATTATATGTTTCTTATTCTTAAATATTTAAATCAAGGGGTTTATAACTTCTATACATTTGTCCTTAGCTACGCAAATTATTTTCAATGTCTGTGTAATCATCAATTGATTTCTTAAAAATGACATTTATTTTGTTTTTTTCTATAATAAATACTCATTGGAAAATCCAGAGAATTAGGAGATGGAAAAAATCACACATAGTCTTAACTGTCCAAAACAATCAATAGTAACATTTTGGTGTTCTTCTGTTCTGACTTTTCAACTCTGCACATTTTTTTGAAACATTTTTTGTAATATATACAATTTTGTATTTTACTTTTTTTCATTTAAAATTATAACAATGTCTTTTCACGTTGTAAATTCTGGCCAGAAGGCTGTGACTATATGTATATGTTGCTTATTTTTTACCTGGACCATAATTTCTTTAAGTAGATCCCCATTTGGGGGCATTTTGGTTGTTTTCTTTTAACTTTTTTTCCTTATGATGAACAATACCAGACTGACAACTGATTTCTTTTTCAGCCCATGGGTCAGTGACCATCTGCAAAAAAAAAAAAAAGAGTTCTTATCTCTGCCTTGGAGGCTGGGCCCCAATGTGATCCGAGTGGCTCTTGGGAGGGAGCTGGGTTTCGGTGTGTGTGACCGTGTGGGGGGTCTTTTTCTGTTGGAGCATGACTAGCAGATTGTGGGTGTTCAATAAATACTAAATGATGACGAGGTGTGTATACATTTGTGTTCATGTACGTTTCTGTGCATCCCTGTTTTTGCTCATGTATATTTCAAGTAAGTATCATCTTTGTGCAAAATGCTGACTAACTCCATATATGTGCATGTCTGTGGATCTGTGTTTGTGAATGCAGGTGTCTGTGTCATGCCAGATGTCCTTAGGTCTGCCTGTGGATATGTCTGGATAGCCTTAGGAGTGTGTATTACAGTGTCTGCGTATCTGGGTGTGGATGTGGTCTGTGCTGTGCGGGTATATGCGAGTGGGGCCTAGTTTCTTTCTTTCTTTTTTTATTGTTGTGCTTTAAATGTAAGTTTACAATTCAAGTTAGTCTTTTGTACAAAAATGTATACACACATTGTTATGTGACCCTAGTTGCTCTCCCTGTACTGTGACAGCACTCTCCTCCTTTCCACCCCGGATTTCCCGTGTCCATTCAACCAGCTCCTGTCCCTTTCTGCCTTCTCATCTCACCTCTGGACAGGAGCTGCCCATTTAGTCTCTGGATCTACTTGAGCTAAGAAGCACACTCTTCACGAGCATCATTTTATGTCTTTCCAGTCTAATCTTGGTCTGAAGAGTTGTGGGCCATGTGTCTGTGTGTCTGTGTGAGCCTCTGCTCAATTCTGTGTGCATGTATGTCTCTCTCCCTGCACCTATGTTTGGGCTGGGTGCATGCTGTGCCTGGGCTGGTGTGAGTGCACTGGAAGGATCTGTGTCCTTTCTTTCTCCTGGGAGCACAGTGGTGCCCAGGGCGCAGAGGTGACGCATCCTCCCTCAGCTCCCTGTTCTCTTGGGAACCAGCTCGTGAGAGTGAGGCTGAGGGCAGACTGTGTCAGGAGTGCCGGCCCCTTTTGCAACCAGCCCAGGCCCCAGGCGGTAACCACGGCTCTCACAGGTCAGACCTGCCCACTGTGCCTCTGCTGCCAGGAACTCCGGCTCCCAGGCAGGGCTGCGCTGTCAGCGCCCTCCTTGGGCCTGGGCCAGATCCCTCGGCGAGCAAAACCCAGCCGAGGGGCCACATGAGTCACCCAGTGGCAACACAGAAGTGATTTCCTGGGCCTGGGCAGCGCTGGTTGTCCCAAGGAAGCAGGGCTTTCTGCCTCCGTATGCAGCCACACGTAGGCAGCCTTATCTCCCCCATTATTGCTTTCCATCCTTACAACTGAGCTTCAAGATAGACCAGATGGCTTTTATTAGCTCCAATTCACAGATGAGGAGACCACAGCCACATGACCAAGGGTAAGGCAGAGCTGGGCCTTGGACCAGTGGGCTCTGCTTCCTAGAAAACCTTCTCTTAGAGGGCAGGGCAGGGAGGCAGGGTTTATGGGGCAGGCAAGGTTATCCTAGGCTGGCGAATGAGGCAGAGGGAGACACACCTGGAGGTGGGAGGTTTAGACACCCAGGACAGATGTCAGCCCTGAAACAGGCCTGCTCTCCT